TTTAAAGTTCTGGGTTTTAAAACAGGTTTATTTTTGTATACATTTATATTGCCTTAAAGCATCTTTGATATAATTTTTTTAGAGAAATTATTAACTTTCTCCCCTTAGCTTAGTTATCCTTTCTATAACATAACAAAAGAACTAAAGATTTAAAAAGTTTTTTTTTTTGATGTTACTAAGCATTTTCCTAAGGAGCCCTGGCAGTACAGTGGTTATGTGCTTGGCTGTTAACTGAAAGACTGGCCGTTCAAACTCACCACCCGCTCCAAGGGAGGAAAATGTGGCAGTCTGCTTCCGTAAAGACTATAGTCTTGGAAACCCTAGGGGCAGCTCTACTCTGTTCTCTAGGGTTGCTATGAGTCGAAATCGACTTGATGGCAACGGGTTTTTTTTAAGTGTTTTACTGAACCTAAATTTATAGGTGGCTATTTCACTTTTCCAAAACAAAGAGTCTTTGTTTTTCTCTGCTATCCAAAAACTCTTACTAGCATATGTTATATTTTTTCCTTTTATCAACTCAAGTGACATGCTCCTGCCAGCTCACTTCAGGTCTTGTGCATGTTTTTCCACATTTATTTATTCTAATAATATTTTTATCTCATAAAAGGAGATCATTCCATTCATCAAACAAATATTTATTGGGTGGTTAAGAACTCGGCTGCTAACAAAAAGGTTGGCAGTTTGAATCCACCAGGCGCTCCTTGGAAACCCTACGGGGCAGTTCTGCTCTGTTCTGTAGGGTTGCTATGAGTTGGAATTGACTTGATGGAAACAGATTTGTTTTGTTTTTTTTTTGATTACTGTATATCAGTGACTTTTCCAGATACTAGGTATACAGTAATGACCAGACAAAAATCCATGCCCTTATGGAACTTACATTTTTAGTAAATAAGATAAATAATTGTATGTTAGAGAGTGGTAAGTGTTAGGAAACAAAGTAAGGAAGAGGGATGGGAAGTATAGGAAATGTTGAAATTTTTTATAGGATGAGCAGGAGAGGGCTCATTGGGAAGGAGATTTTTTAAAAAGACCTGAGGAAAGTAAGGAGGTGAGCCATGCAGCTACTGGGAAAAGAGCATTCCAGGCCTAGGGAATAGCACGGAGACCAGTAAGAGAGTGGGGCAGGGGGGACTGGGTCACAGAGTTATATAGGGGATGAAGGGAGGGAGATAATGGGGAGCGACATCATGTAACAAATATTTGTTTGTGTTATAAAATTATCTCTCTTCTGTAATTTTTCCTGAGACTTATGTTTCTGTTCTTTTTAGCTCAGTATAGAATTTGATGCTTTTCTTTTTATAAATGTAATTTAATTAACATTTTTTAAGATCTGCCATTGTTACCATTTTTGAGTGATAACATACATCAATTAATTAGTCAGAGCCTGTGGGAAAACACATGATCTTATTTTTGTACTTGCCATTTAATTTCATGCTTAAAAAAATTTAATATCATTACTTTTGGGGCTGCAGATCTTTACCACTATCTTAATGTATGTGATTAGCAATCCAGTTGCCCAGTGCTACCTTGTATGTTATTATTCTTGTTCTTTTCTTGCGAAGTTTCTTAAAGAGGAAAAAAAGTTGAAACTTTTTTTGCAAGGGTTTTTTTTTTTTTTTTTTTCAAAATTCTTAATCTTCACCATAGAAGCACCATTTTAAATTTAAAAAATTCATTTGCATTAAAAAACAAACCAGAGAGACTTTTATTTGATCTGGCTCTCTGTTCGGTGGAAGTAAGTTACTTGCTTTTTATGAAATGACTGGGAATCTAAGCAAATAAATTTAATTGGGGATGTCAGAAGATGTTTAAATGAATTGCAGAGTTAGAATTTCTAGTATGACAGAATGGAGATTTAAAGTCAAAAGATTCTGCTGTTCAACTCCCCCCACTGAATAGTTGTGTAGCTCTTTCTGAACTTCAGTTTCCTTGTCTGTAAATGGGAATCATATTGCCTACTTCAGAGGCTCACCAACACATTGTTTTGAGAATGTAATTGAATACTGTATGTAAATGGTCTCAAACAGTTTAGTGCCATTGAATGTAAGTAGTATTGTTCTTTATCCTATTAGGCCACTTATGCTTATCTTTTTTTTTTGGTTTGTTGAATTTTAATAGTCATTGGCTTTGTTATATTTACATAGTTTCATAACTTTTTTGGCTGAAGATTCCTTTAATAGATCTTTTGTGAAACTGCTTCTGCAATGTAAATGGACACGTCTTGGCTGTCACCCAACAGCACTATGGTGATTTTACTCTTAGTTGCAATGTGCTCTGGCATGTACCTCTAAGATTTTATTTGCCCTAAGTTTGAAGACAGCTGTTAGCAATTGGGAACTTTTTATCTCATTAAAACATTATTAGGGAGCATACAGAAGTACAGTGTACTGCTTGCTTGCTACCTCACCAACATGCTTTGGCATGTCCTGGAAATAGAAATTTCATTTAGAGAACTTTAGTCAAAAGTTTTTGAAGCGCTAAGGGAAAATTATTATGCTAGCACATTGGCCTGCCAGCCCAGGGCAACATGGAGCTCTGAGGAGAGGATCCTCCAGAAGAACATATTGGTCTGTATGGAGTATCCAGGGCACCCGTAAGAACTTTTGTTTTAAGTTTTCAAATTTTTAAAGAGTCAGGATATAGCAGTGGTTCCCAAACTTTGCTGCACATTAGTCACCTGGGAGCTTTTTAAAAAATCCTGATGACCACGTCATGCCTCATACGAATTAAATCAGAATGGGGGGTGGGTGGGGAGGAGGACATCAGTTATTTTTAAAGACCCCCAGGTGATACAGATATGCAGCAAAGTTTGAGATCCACAGGAATAGGGTGTATATGGCTCAGGCCTCCGTTCTTTTACCACCTGGTATTGTTTCACAGGTTTTAGCACCATTAGTGAGAGTTTGATGATGCTATCGCTAACAACATTTGAAAATAATAGGTTATATCCCTCCAGCAGATCTGTGGTTTACATTTTTTGTAAAGAGTATGTGCTCCTTTACAGTTTTGTGTTGTTTTGAACATTAAGTTTCATTACTGGTCCATTCTACCCCCATTTACCACAGATATTTGCCTTAATAAAATCATGCCTTTGTCTGTGACATAAGATACTGAGGAAAATCATGTCTAAGAGAATTAACTAGTTAAGGAGTTTCGTTCCTTTGTTTCAGTTACAGTGGTTGTTTTCAGAATAGAAGATTGACAGCCAATTTGTTTTTTCCAACTTTGCTTTGTGTGTTTTTAAAAATCCATTTTAATTTTTCTCCAGTGTTGTAATGAACTGTTGTCTTATACCTATGAAATTATGAGTCTGAAGGAATAGACTGCTTAATTATATGACAGCCACATTAATACTTACAGGAGCTGATTGGTGTGTGAGACAAAAACTATACCAGTGGCATTAATAATCATGATATCACAAATGAGTAAGCATTTTTCAAAATATCATGGTTTATTAAGTCAGCCTCAAAGTGTACAAAGGGGAGTTCCTAAATGGAGTGGTTCCTAATGTTGACAAGAGCTAGAGTTTTTTGGCTGTACATCCTTGAGCATTCCCCTAAGGCCTGATGTAAGTTCAAGTGTTCACACTGTTATATTAAAAACAATAGAAATTCCATTTTGATTTATAAAAATATTTCTGTTTATACTCCATGTCAAATATGTGCATGAAAAAATGCAGAACATGAAGTGGTGCTCTGTGAATTTTTTCTTTGTTATTTAAAATTAAAGAACATAACCCTGTCGTCTCCAGTGCTGTCAGAATATTGTAAGTTATGGAAATTTTTACAGTGCAAATATTTGGTTTAATTCATAACATTCAGTCGTCCAATTTTATTTTGAGACTTTTGTTTTTCGTGTTTTGCATTTTTATTTTGTTTTGTTTTCAGCCATCATTTTGTCTTATCATCTTCAATTCCAGAGCAACCTGACAACAATAATGATACTACTGAATTGGGCAACCTTGTCATTCCTGAGATTAGTGTCACAAGTGTGGCCAGAGAGAGAACCGGGAATGGGGAAAAAGGCAGAACACTAGGAGAGATTGATGCTCAGCATATACAGGGTGTGCAGGAAACAGCCACAGATCCTAGAACTGAGAGCAAAGGCTTGCCAGAGATCAGGAGGCAAAAATCTGTGAGAAAAATCATGGAGGATGGAATAAACTCACCTGGCAGAGTGCAGTTTTAGCAGAGCACTTTATAGCTGCACTCCAAGGTATCTCATGGCAAAGGGCCACTGCTGCATGTTTAAGCAACAGTTGCACAGTCACAAAAATTTTGCATGTCACCTAATAATCAAAATGCATGGATTATGCACCACAATTTCTCAGTGACTCTTAATGTTCTTTGGAATTGTCATAACTATATTGTCTCTGAATAAATTCCAAAAATTTTCTGCTTGTGTTTTGAGATCTAATATGATTTTTTTCATCTTTATATTTTTATCTTTGATACGAAGGGTAATATATGTATAGAATTTTAACAAGTTAGAGCCTGAGATATTTATAGTCTAGTTTTTTTTTTTCAACTTAGTAAAATAATCTACAGTGTAGAACGTAACCTTATTTTTTTAAGTCTTTAAAATATTCTAATACCACTTCTTTAAAAAAAAGTCCGTTGGTAAGAGCTATGATTTTATATTGCTTTGCTACTGAGGGGAGACTATACCCCTAGTTTACTGCGTTATATTTTTTCTAATTGTTTCTAATCTTTTGCATGAATAATAGGAGAATTCTTTCTAAAAGCACTGTGCAGTGTGATTTATGGCATGCTTTTTGTTTAATACATTCTAAATTACTGTTATTTAATTACAGTGGACTATTTTAAGATTTTATAGAATAAATGTTTTGATTTTTCCTTTGATTTTGTTTTACTATAATCTATTTCCTTATGAAATTATGCTAAAGTTTATTTAAAGTAAATTGATTTGATGTTAGTCATTAAAAAAAGAATTGTTTAAAATACTTAATGTTAACTAATCTTTGTTATTTCTTTGTTTAGGAAATACAGATTTAACAGGTCAAGAGGAACTGACGGACATATCTGAAGTTGACGAGGGATTTTATTCCAGGGCTGCGTCTAGTACCAGCCAGTTGGGTTTATCAAACAGTAGTCACAATTCTAGTAACAAGACAAGTGTAGGAAAGAACCAGAGACGGTCAGGAGGAAGCAAAACTGGAGGAAAAGAAAAAGAAACTACAGGGGAATCTTGCAAAGATCACTTTGCTCGAAAACAAACTCAGAGAGCCCAAAGTGAGAGTCTTGAGCTTCTCTCTTTGAAGAGACTTACTTTAACAACCAGCCAATCCCTGCCTAAGCCTAGTAGCCATGGTTTGGCCAAGACCGCTGCTACTGTGTTTAGTAAATCCTTTGAACAAGTCAGTGGTGTCACAGTCCCACATAACCCATCACCTGCTGTTGGTTGTGGGACTGGGACAGATGCCAATAGGTTTTCTGCTTATAGTCTCCAGGAAGAAAAGCTTATTTACATTTCTGAAAGAACTGAACTTCCGATGAAGCATCCATCAGGTCAGCAGAGACCTCCTAGTATTAGCATTACTCTGTCAACAGATTAATTTCTAACTTATTTTTCTCACTAACCAGTCACTCTGGAAATACCACTTTGCTTCTGTATGAAAGTGCCCTAGGTCTTTCATCCCTGTTCCTGGGAGGAGCCCCAATGTCTTAAATTCTGAAGGCTACCTTGAATTTTGAAGGGAATAATGTCTAGGTTGCAGTATGTTGAAATATGATTTTGTTATTTCTTGGTTATGTTCTTCCCCTTGCTTTGAGTCTTATTTTCTTTCCTATATTTTACTGTTGCCCTGAGATTGCCAATGTGACAATAAATTTTGGTAGATTGTCTGATCAGGTTGGCTACATCATATGTGAGGCTATGAGGGTTTTTTTGTTTTTTTTTTTTTAAATAACTCCTGTTTTGGTAGCTGTATGTTTGGCTTTCAGAGTGAAAGGGAACCTCCAAACTTGGGAACTGTTTCATAAAGGATGAGGCAGATGTGGAACTCCAGGAATTCTACAGCTGGCCATTTAACAAGCCAGTTTGAAAAACAGGCATATGAAAATCAAAAATGATGTGTATAAAAAGTACCTGATAAAAATGTTTGTAACAAGGTCATCTTTAAGATTAGAACAGCTTATTCAAAGCACTGAAAAATGTCTAGAATATTATATAATGTGAGGAGATGAAAATTATATGATTCCAGAAGACAGATGGAGGGATATCTGTTGTTATCTTTGGGACATTTTTATATCAAAAGTCAGATTGTTGCTAGGTGTGTTGTTCTGAAGTGTTTCACCTGGATTTATCAGATGAAAATCCCTTATAATTCCTATGATATAATAGGCTGTAAAGCTGATTTACCCTGCTCCTCGACTTTGGGAATCCTAGTTACTTTGGATTCCTATAATTCAGAGCATGTATCATTGAAGACTTCCTGGAAGTCATTGTAAATATTGCAACACAGGTCTCAAGACACCAATATCAACCATATAAGATTGAATTGTTTGCCTGCAAATGAAAGATATTAGATAATTTTTTCATCGATGAAATGTCATGAAAGAAAATTAAGAATAGTGAAATATAGACAAAGGGCATTTATATAATAACTAACTTAGGGTTTTTTATGTTTGTGTTCTTAAATTTAAAATTACAAAGTATGAAAAAAAGAAGTATGTTTCTTGTTTTGTGACAGGCCTATTTTAAATGTTTTATTATGTTGTAGAAGGAATAACAAATTTAGTTACCTTCCCCTAACGAAAACTAAAAATAAGCTTGTATGAAGCTATAGAGAGTATGTGACCTCTAGATTGACATAAAAGTTTGGTGTTTGCTAGTGGTGGTCATTTCAGCTATGGTTGAGGTTCCCTGTAAATCAAGGCTGCTGAAGTAATAATTCAGAGTCAGAGAAAGCAGTGCGAGAATGAGAGCAAGTTGGCTGGGGAGGAAGGCCCAGGGAGCTGTTCACTTTCTTGGGCTTTTACTATTAGTACACAGTAGTGTCCTTATCCACAGACTCTCGCTGTGGGCACACAAAGAGAAAATACTAGTGTTTTCCTCTTCTGCCTGCTTATCATGACCTCAGATATATGAAAAATGTGTATGTCTTGAAGGGTCCCTGAAGCATTTACACACTATGGATGCAGTTTTGACTATGACTGCTTTGGCCACAAATTTAAATCTAGTTCTTCAAAAAGCATAAACTAGTTTTCATTCATTAGTCCTAATTGCAGTATGATTTTTGACATAAGTACATTTCATGTTTTTAGTTCCAGTAATAGAATAGAATAAGATCTAATGGCCTAAATTGTAGCAAAAAGAATATAAGACAACCAGAAAGTGAAAGTTGATATTGTATTCACTTAATAGGAATCCTGTGTACAATTTTAAATATTTGTAAAATGTCGCTGTGAATTTCCTGTTGTCTTTTTGTAATTCTTTAACAAAGATTTTTCTCTAGGTATAGGTACTAACAGTGTTGATATTATTAAGAACTAATTTAAAAGATTGGCACTTTAAGCAAGTTGAGTTGCTTAGGAAATGTTTTTGAATAAGTTTGAGTAACTTATTCTCAGATGGCACAGATGACAGCTCAGATTTTAAAGTTCAACCACTGTAATGGAACCTCATTTTGCTATTATGCTAGACCCTTGCTACGCAGGGTAGTCTGAAGACTAGTAAGTAGCATTGGCATCACCTGGCAGCTTGTTACAACTGCAGAATTTCAGCACCACCCAGACCTATGGAATCAGAATCTGCATTTTAACAAGATCCGCAGGTGATTTTTACGCACAGTAGAGTTTGAGAAGTGCTGGTCAAGAGACTATCAGAGTACAAACAAATCACTTGTCTAATATTTAGAATTCTTGGTGGTCTCACAACCCTAGATCATGGAAATATGTTAGTTAGGTACTACTAGATCATTATAACCTTTGTTGTTTCTGACAGCTAATTAACTTTTAATAACATTGACACGACTTCTAATTTTGAATTTTTAATGATTCTCATTTATTTTTGCAATAAAAATGTAACGTTTTATATTTTTCTTGTTATTCATAAATGGAGTCAGATGTGTAGATGCTTGCAATTGTAAGTATGGAAGGGCTACCACCCTTTTATACAATGCACAACCGATTTGCTTGTGTATTCTTTTTTTTAATTTCTGGAGGCTTACTCAGTGGGGTGGTTTTGAATTTTTGCTCCAAATAACTTGCACCAGTTGATTTTCTGGAGTGTTAAATTATGTTAACAATGAAATTATTTTATAGAAACTTTGATAATATTTCAAATAAGGATTATGAATTTGAAAATTTTGTAGTAATTATAAATATTGAATAATATTAACTATGGTAAGAAATTGTTATTACTCCTTCTGCCCTTTCCTTACTCACCTTCCCAAATTTGAAAATTTGGGAAGGCTTTTGTAGGTCATTTTGCTGTGAAGATGCTGGTATGACAATTTGCTCATGGACTTCAGATATATCCAATATACATTTTACCAGGAGAAGGATTCCACATAAAATTGTGGTCTTAAACCCTGTAGCTCAGAGGATCTGAGTAGAAATTGCAGCTCCATTCCACATTTTAAACTTCTAAGGATTCTGGAAATTACCCAACCTCTCACTCTGGAAACAGCAAACTGCCTGGGGTATGTTGTAGTGAAGCTCGACCCTAGCACTAGCGTTTTGGAAGCCAAGTGGGGAGAGAAACAACTATGTAGACTTTTCAAGGGAGTGTCCCAGAATATGGAGGGCAAGGATGTCTTCCCTTTTTGCCCCCGAAGCTACAGGAAAGCACCCTGGAGTTCTTGCTCACCATCCTGGAACTTAATTTAAGGCAGTTTCGTAGATTTGAAGAGTAGAAATTCTCAGTCCTTAAATGATGACTGAAGTTTGTTTTGGAGATACAATATTTTATTGCTGTTTTCATTTATGAAGCAACTGCTCAGCAAACATAACTCATTAAAATAAAAAAAAAAAGTTGAAGGGAAATATCTTATTTAAGCCAAAATAGATAAAAACGATCCCAGTTTTTAAGGGATTTTGCCTATTTTGGAAGAATAAAATTAAAGCGTTAAAACTGCTAAATTTAAATTACAGAGAAAAAAATGTACTCAGACATAATTTTAAACATATATTTTAAATGAAGCAGTTTAACATTTGAATCAATAGGCAGAATAAATGTATGCTTTATTAAAAGTCAGCACATCAAAGGAAATATGTATGTTAAATAATGTAACTGAAAAAAAAAGATTAAAAAACATTTAATGAGAAACATAATTTGGTGGTTACTTAAGTATTATAGGTAGAAATTAATGTATAGTAGGTTCTTCTCAATCTTTAGATGAAAAACAAACTCTCTAGTCCTTTACTTAGCATGAATTATACTTTTAGATTTGTTGTTTAGTAAAATTATACTTAATATTTAGAGTTAACACATTTGTGTTTAATATTGGTAAATTCTTCATTAGAGAGCATAAATATGTTGTCTTCTATACTTTCTAACTTGTGCATATATGAAGAGACTAGCAGTGGACATTTTGGAAGATGTTTTTGTGTTTTTTATGGTAGAGTTCTAGGGTACCTGTGTCTTAGTATGAAGTTTTTACTAGTAAACTCAAGATCCTATTCACATACTGTTGCTTTCTCTTATATGGAGTTTCTTGTGTACCTCTCACCTTTACTTCTAATCACGTAGTGATACTAATCATTTCATAGTGAATATACTTGTTTATAATTGTATTCCTAGAGTTTACATTCCTCAACTATGACTTTGGATATTTTTATGTGCTCATTACCTTTGTAAGACTATGGAAATAAACTGGAGTTTCGTTTTTTGAAGTTTTGTGTATTCGTGTAAATGTTCTCCACATGCAGTGCTTTATACGGCTAAGTGTTACCTCTTGTTTTATTGAAATAAAAACTGATAAAATATTTTCCAGATTATTTTATCATTAAAAAATGTTATAAAAATTTTCAAAAGTCATGATGTGGAGGATAAAAAGTAAACGAGGAAGACTTAGGTGAGTTGAGCCATTAACAGCTTTTGGGGGTAAACCATATGGCAGTGGCATCTCATTCCTGGCTTTATGCTTTACAGGTTCATTGGTGTCCATCCAAAAGAGGAAGATGAGCTCTATGGGCCATGCACCATTCGCTGATTATTCATCATACCAGAACACAGGCAAATTTAGTGCTTTACCCTGTTAACTCCAGTATGAGTCTTTATCTCTTGAATGCAGAGATTATATGCCCCCTAGTACCTGGCATAGGACTTCATACATGGTGGGTATTTAGGTATTTAGACATTTAGTGAATGAGTGAGTCAGGTTGATGTTAGCTGTGGAAGGAATCAAAGATAAGATCTCCAATGTATTTTTATACAGTAAAATTTTAGAATTCCTTTTCTTACTTGAATTGCATTATTGTGTGTGCTTAGAATCAAGACTCTTTCAGAAATTTGAAAAAAAATTTCTGGTGTGTAGGTGATCATATATTTGTAAAACTCCATTTCACCTAAGGAACTAAGTATTTTAGGAAATGTTTTCTGAACTACTATTAGAAAAGTACTTGTAGAGAACCAGAGCTGTGATTTTGTAAGCAGCATGTTAGCCCTGTGAAATATGCACTCTAGTGGCTTCAGCAATCCCAGTGAATAGTTGACTCATCTGACTTTGGAAATGCCAACATAATTATTGAGAAAGATTTTTAAAACATTTCTAATCATTTGGTAATTTTCCTTGCATTGTGTTATTGTGGTAGTAGTAGTAGCTAACATTTGTAATTAAAATTATAATCACATTTAATCCTCACAACAATCCCATAAAATGAGTAGAGTCCCCATTTTACAAAAGAGGAAACTGAAGCTCTTATGAGGGAAGATGACTTGTCTAAGGTCACCTAGCTGCTAGGTGGCAGAGCCAGGCCTTGAACCTAGGTTTATAACTCTCACTTTTCTTTTATATCACTTGGTAAAAGAAGATACTAATGCTACCTAATGGCCATATATTTGAAATTCATTCATCTCATCTGTCTTAAACGGGTGATAGAGTTGAGTTTTAAGGTAAAATAAGACCAAAGTTTTCCAAAAATAAATCATGGTATATTTTGTAGATTTTTAGATAAGATACTTGTGTTTCAGTAGTAAACTGAATGCTGATTATTGTGATATATCAAACATGGTAAAATGCCAATTAAAATAAAGATTTCATTTTTGTTTTTTTTACTCATAAGATTGATAAAGATTCAAATGATTGATACTAGTACTGGCAAGGGGTAGGGGAAATCATTAGTCTCTGTGACCATTGGCAGGACGATAAATTGGTACAGCTGAATTGGTGGGCAGTTCAGCCGAACCTATCAAACTTTAAAGTGCACATACCCTCTAGCCAGCAGTCCTGTTCTTTTATTTTTATCCCACTGTCTATCTTCTGGAGCTCTGATGGTGCAGTGGTTAAGAGCTGTGGCTGCTAACCAAAAGGTCAGCAGTTTGAATCCACTAGCTGCTCCTTAGAAAGTCTATGGGGCAGTTCTACTCTGTCCTGTAAGGTTGCTATGAGTTGAAATTGACTCGATGGCAGTGGGTTTGGTTGTTTGTTTGTTTTTTTTGTTTTGGTTTTATCTGTGTTCTACAGAAATTTTAGCACAAATGTGTAACAGAAATTTGGAAGGTATTCATTGCAGCATTGCTTGTAATAGCAAAAAAAAAATCCCCAAAACCAAAATATCAGCAATCTAAATGTCCATTAACAAAGGAATGGATAAATAAATTATAGTACATACATATAGTGAAATATGATGTAGCCATTAAGAAGAATGCAGATCTACATGTGATGATTTAGAAGGATTTTATAATGTTCCCTGAGAAAAATATGTTGCAGAACAATATATGTAGTATGATCCTATTTTCATAAAAAACAGAATATGTATTATTTGTATGTATATATGTATACACACACACATACATAAACACATACATGTATTTGCTGATACAGAGGAAGGGAAGCATTGTTTCTCAAAGTGTGGTCTAAAGACAGCCTGCTTTAGGAAAGAACTGTAGTGCTTTTTAAAATTCACATGCCAGGCCTTGTGCCAATTCTCCTGAATCAGAATCACTGTGAATGAAGTATGGTAATCTACATTGCTAACAAGTTCCTTAGCTGATTCTTATACAACTTAAAGTTTGCTCTACTAGCTCACAGCAATGAATTGGTTCTTTGCGTGTCTGGTAGTGATTTGTAGTTAGAAAGGACAAACTTTTAAAAAATTTTTTATTGTACTTTAGATGAAGGTTTATAGAACCAACTAGCTTCTCATTAAACACTTAGTGTACATATTGTTTTGTGACGTTGATTGCCTGCTGCACGACGTGTCAACACCCTCCCCTTCTTGACTTGGGTTCTCTGTTACCAGCTTTCATGTCCCCTCCTGCCTTCTGGTCCTTGTCCCTGGGCTGTTGTGTCCCATTAGACACGTTTTGTTTTATGGGCCTGTTTAATCTTTGGCTGAACGGTGAACCTCAGGAGTGACTTCATTACTGAGCTAAAAGGGTGTCCAGGGGCCATACTGTCAGGGTTTCTCCAGTCTCTTTCAGGCCAGTAAGTCTGGTCTTTTTTTGTGAGTTAGAATTTTGTTCTGTATTTATCTCCAGCTCTGTCCAGGACCCTCTATTGTGATTCCTGTAGGAGCAGTCAGTGGTGGTAGCCAGGTACCATCTAGTTGTACTGGACTCAGACTGGTGGAGGCTGTGGTAGTTCTGGTCCATTAGTCCTTTGGACTAATCAGAAAGGACAAACTTTTTGAAGAGATCTTGTATTTTAAATGGAGCCTCCCAAAGATAAAGCAACTTATGTAGATCTGCTAGTGAAAGGTGAATTGGCCTCTGCTAGTGAAAGGTGAATTGGCCTGAGAAAGGAAAATGATTGTCTCTGCTGTATAGGAGTACATGTCAATTAAATGAGCAATCCTTAAAATAAAAACTCTTACTATTGTTAACCTCCTCAAAATATTAGCAGATGACATATTAATAAAGCAAAACTAAGTATTAGAACTTAACTCAGTAAGGGAGAGCACTACCTTGGTAGTCTTAGACGTGTCTCAGAATGCGGAAGTCGGAAGTGGGATATTTGTAGGACTTCAGAATCTATGCCGAAGTGGTTTAAGAGGTCTGTCAGGGCAGGAAACTGACTGGTATTGGCAAAATTAATGCTATACTTTAGGATTGGTAGGCACATCAAGCAAGGGTCTTGAAAAGTAAACTGTTGTTTGATAAACAAGCTGTTTGCCCAAGTAAGTAAATGATTGTGGGGTAGTGGTTAAAGAGCTTGGCCGCTAACCAAAAGGTCAGCAGTTTGAATCCACCCGCCGCTCCTTGGAAACCCTACGGGGCAGTTCTACTCTGTCCTATAGGGTTGCTATCAGTTGGAACCGACTCGACGGCAATGGGATTAGTTTGGTTTCGAATCTGTTAGAACTTCCTGATGCAAACAGTTTATTAGAGATTTTTTTTGTTTTGGGATTTGTTTTCTTTTTTTGTTTGCAGTCACATCTTTCCTAGGCAAAGATTTCCTGGAATAAACAACTAAGTCACGTTGACATAGGTGGGTAGAGTTTTATCTAAGTCATATTGACTCATAGTTTCAGTTCTCTCTCTTAATCTCTCTTATACTTAGATTGTAACTCAATTTTATAAATACAGCTTATTGATATGTCTTTAGTGGCTCCTTACGGTTCGACTGAACATCTCAAAGATTTCTTCTGAAGCTTCTTGACCCTTATAGCACTCAGTTCACACTTGTAAATGCTCTAATATAGTCTTCGTTGCATTATACTGTGGATTACCTCTTCACACATCTGTTTCCCTCATTACATCATGGCCTGTGGGAGTTTAGTACAGTGTCTGATATATGAAAGTGAATAAATATTTAACTACATAGAATGTGTATCCAATCCAAGAAATTGGTGGTAGCATAGAAGATACTGTGCTGCTTCTCTACCATTCAAGAAAAGTCTATAAGACTTCTTTGATTCTCTGATGTACATCTGCATGGAGATAAAGGTGAAGGTTGGAAAACTCGACTACTTTGATTCTTTAAAGTGTATTTGCGTAAAAGTTTTTTGAGAAGTAAATTATGATACATCTTTTTTTTGTACTGAAGGTAATGGCATGAAGATTTTTCAGGTTCATATTTGGTATTTATTTCTTTTTGTTTTTTTACTATATTATTCTTTTCAGTACATCTGCAGTACATATGAATGATATCTAGACTCATCAGAAAATAAAGTAGGAAACATCTAACCTCAACACTACAAATTTTCACTTCTTGCTTCACTTATTTCCTTTTGTAGAAACTATGAGTATATTTAACTTTTATATCCTAGGTCTACTACTACCTAATGAAGCTATGTAGTGCATTTATCTTAACATTTTTACCCTCTTTATTTAGCCAAAATATGTCTTTTGTCATAGCTGATGCCCTACTTATACTTCTGTCTTGCCTCCTGTGCTGTGTAATTTTTTACTACCATGTTCTTCAAATCTCTTGAACTGTAACCCTTTGGAATGACAGCCTACCACTTTCTGTTGTATTCTAATTCTACCCTAGTTTAGACTTTTGTTTCAATATTCATTCCTTCCTTAGGTCCTTTAATTCATTTATGTCCACATAGTTGAATTTAATGAAGCAGGATATGTTTGAAAGAGGGAGATAACAAACAAGCAAGCAAACAAACCCATGAACTACACCTGTAATAAGAAAGAATGTTATATTTCTCAATTCACTGAAGATGAAAAATTTAAGCCTGCTTATACAAGTAGTAGTGCACAATATGTGAATACT